ATATATATATATGTACATCAAGAAATAATATATAATGAGAAATTATATTTAAATAATACATACTGTAATTCTAAATGGTTTTAAACATTCGTTGTTCAGTAGTTGGTGTAAAAATAACAGGAATGTAAATGTGGTGAAGTGCTGTTCAAAAGTCTTAGGCCACCAATTTTGTATTTTTCAATGATCTCTTTCATCATGAGATGATTTTTCTGACTTCTGCTAAAATTAACGACGACAATGATGATGTAGTCTGATTCTGATATGTTGTCCTTCCTCATACCAGGCACACACCATCCCTTGGAGGCCCAAGCGGTTCCTGTCGCTCTAAGTCTTACTACCACAAGGTGTGCAATCATCAAGCCAGCTATTCTGACAACATTCAATCTGACCCCCTGTACAGGAAGACCTTACGCGCTATACATCCTGTTGAGCCGGCCGGGATCATTACTGCCCACAGTTATGGGGGTCGTCATGGTCATGCCACCCGCTACGTCATTGTCAATGAACATGAACCTAGGAAGAAGCTGCTTCGCTCGGCCACACGTATACCACGCCATTACTTAATGGAGGAGGAGCCAGCAGAGATCCTAGAGCTCTACCCATGCAACATCAAGCGCTACACTCCTCGCACACCACATCAACAACCACACCCCCACAGATCTCACCTGTCCCAACAGAATTTGAATGAAGATGAGGAGAAAGAGGGGAAACGCAGGAGAAGGGTATTGTTAGAGAAGGCTTATCGACCCTGTTCTCTATCTGACCTCCACCAGCCAGCACACTTCTACATTGGTGACAGAGTAGAGAGCCACATGTCTGTAGCAAAAGACATCCACGTAGGTAGAGGGCGGTACAGATCCCAGGAAGAGGATGAGGAGGAGGAAGGAGATATCAGATGGAGAGGTTTAAAGTCACACTCCCGGTCCCAGGACAGTGTAAGAGGAGCAGAACCTCAACTGGTCCGAACCAGGCGCCACCTGAATTCTCCAGGAAGAAATTGGCAATCCCCAACTAGGAGCAGGCAAATCAAATCAAAGACAGGACCAAATTTGGAGCAGCCTCTGACTGAATCTGACTCCGCTTCCCTGGCCTCAAGCAGTGATCAGCAGAACAGCGGGACAGACCAGTACATTCAGGTCATCCACAACAAGGAGCGTTATCTCAAGTCTGATACAAGGCAAGGAAAATTATCCAAAAAGAGGTTCAAAGAAACCTTGGATTTGGATTCCCTTGAGGCAAATGACCTGGTTTGTTCCAATGTGTGATATTTTGAAACATGTACCGGTGTAACATTACCAAATGAGCAAATGTATAGCTTAAGCCAAGACGAATGTGATTTTTTCTTTTCTTCCTCCTGTGGTCATCATGTATCATTAACGCATTAGTGCAACATTGTGTGATGGCAATAAAAGCTAACGCTGTCCCAATTAGTGAGTGGTAAGCATTTCATCAAACATAACACCCATCTGAATGCGCATAACCTAACCACACAATAAGGATCACTACATAGCCCTCATTTGGTGTGGCTAAATTTTAAAACATCAGTCAACTGAAAAAAGATAACAGGCCTTATCCTGCTATTGTTAGCTTTGGAAATATTAATTCATTTTCCGATCCGCTCACAAGGGTCGCGGTGGGTGCTGGAGCCTAGCCCAGCTGGCGGGGGACACCCTGAACCGGTTGCCAGCCAATCGCAGGGCACACAGAGATGAACAACCATCCGCACTCACACCTAGGGACAATTTAGAGTGTGCAATCAGCCTGCCATGCATGTTTTTGGAATGTGGGAGGAAACCGGAGTACCCGGTGAAAACCCACGCAGAACATGTAAACTCCACACAGGAAGCGGGAATGGAACCCACGACCGCTGCACTGTGAGGTCTACGCGCTAACCACCGGGCCGCCACTTTGGGTAGGGGAAGAAAAAAAATATATATATATATATATTTACTATTTTGTTGGCTATTTTCGAACCCACAAGTAGACACCTGCCTCACTAAGACACCGCCTCTCCCCATACGGCTGCTTGTTGCACGCATCACCAACGAAACAGTAATAAACAGTTGTTATCAATAAGAAGACTAGTGCCGCTTTTCCATTCGTCCCAGACAGCCCCACATCACATCACACGGCCTTTGTTGCTTTTACAACTAGGTGCGGCTGATGACAACACTCACAGCATGTGTGGCTCTTCTGCTGTCACATCTCACGTGGCGAGTCTCGGCCACGACAATATGAAGTGCTTTTGCACGACGTGGCCACGTCGCAAAGTACAGCCTATCAAATGCACAGAAGAAGAAGCTTTTACATGTAGTTAAAAACTTTTTTTTGGTTTAAGCCAACGAGACACAGCCGTCTGCCATCAAGACAAAAATACACTATGTACAGGCCGTATAATTTGTGTTTTACATCAACCTGGAACCTGGGGAACCAAATTGACAATTTTATTTGAAGATATTTGTGTTTCTTGTGTGTGTATGTTTCTTTTTCTTTTTTACTTTATTTGACAAGCAATGTTGTGTTTATATGGTAAACCAATCTCGTGGAGAATCATGATAATTCACATTATCTGCCAGCAGTCATGTGCTTCATCACTGGGGCAATGTTGACAGAAATATATTTGGCTCTTTGCCAGAGTGGCAAATATTTATCACTCCAATCTCTGTTTCACCTCGTCACTGGCCACCAGGCGGGCAGGTAGCATGCAGTCTGGCTTCAAACAGATTAAATTACATTTGATGAACCATGTTTTGAAAAGAGCATATTTAATGGCTGGTTACATAACAGTGAGTTAAGAATTTAAGTTAAGGGGTAACTAATGGTTAAAATAAATGACTTTTGAACAATCAGGTCCAGATTGCTAACGTTAGCTAACTGAGTTGAAGCTTGCTAAATTCCAAAGCTTGTTTGCCAATTTTAATAGTCTGACTGGGTGAAATAGACCCAATGAAAGAGGCCATTATTTATCATGTCGACTGTTGAATAATCATGCAGACAAAACAACACTGGACACTGACAGTTTTTGGCTATAAAAATAGTTTTACATCTTTGGTTAAAGTGACTGCTCGGAGTGATGCAGAAATTGGCTTATCCTAAATCAGGTTCAGAAATATCCTGTCAGGTCTTATCACTTAAAAATGACTAAAAGTTAAAATGACTAAAAGTTTGGATTAATAAAGAAGTGGCATCCTCAAAACAGAAACATAAACCCAATGCCTGTATTAATATTTCAAGTGAGATGCTGATGAAGAGTGACAAGACTTGTGAACGAATGTGGTGCCTATCTCCACCTCTTGACAGAATATACTGTTTTGTACTGTTAAATTAAGTTGCTATTTTTACTTAGGAAAGAATAAACTGTTAATTTACATTGGGGAGGTGGGGGGTTTAATTGTATTTTACAATTAAAAAATACGGTTTTTTTTCCATCCAAAAATGATTTTCTCTGGTTAGGGGTACTTGACTGAAAAAAAGAATATTTCACAGGGGGGTGCATCAATGGAAAAAACGTTGCAAACCATTGTACGGCAGGGTGTGTGTAGAAACAGCCACTGCATGTACATATGCTGTTGGGCCTATGTTTAAGTGTACACGTTGAGCTGTTTTTTCTTTTGTACGATATGAATAATCTAATTCCCTGTTATTTTATTAATATTAATATAAAATAAGCCAAAATATACAAAGAGGGTTGTACTGGATAAACTTTTTTCCCTACTCCCTTTTGAACTTGGAAACTGTGTGCAGAACGATGTTATATTAAGGTGGGCGCCAGAGCAAATCAAAAGCCGTACTTTGCTTTGTATTTTGGCGATGACCGTGTACCACGACTGACAGTGAGTATAGACATCATACGGTTTGCCTCTTTTAGCGCACAATTGTACGTCGATGCTGCCGCCATATTGGACGAGGAACAGCGGTACGGTCGGTGAAGATTCGTCATTCATTTGCTGCTTGGAGATATATCAACCGCTCACAACCAGATCTCATAGGGTTAAGATTGAATGTATTACATTTTTGATTGCATTTCGCCAAAACAATTACATTCATATAATTTGCCAATATCGGTGATAATTTTATGAAGTCCTTTGTATGCAAAACACTGGTAATATTTCGGTAGTGTAAGCAGCCCTCAAACAAATGACAGTGGTGCCTCTACGTATGAAATTAATATCTTCTGGAAGAAACTTCTTAACTTGAAAATGTAAGTAGAGACGTGTTTTCCATGTAAATAACCTAATCCGTTCCAGCCCCCCCCCGAAATTCACACAAAAATGTTTTATAAAGCATAAAAATATGTAACAATACATGTTACTATTAGATTATTGCACAGTAAATGAGAGTTGTGCATCATGTAAAAAACAAAGAATACAGTCAAGCAGGGGTGTCACATTGTGGGACACATACGGCCTCGGTAGATGTCAAGTGGGCCGGACCATTAAAACTATATCGTACTCTGCTATAAATAACCAAAATATCATGTCTTTCCTTTGTTTTGGTGTCAAGAAGCACAAGAACATTTGGAAAATGTTGAAATTTATTGAACATATCTTTGACAAAACATTTCATGAAACACCTTAGATTTCCTTTGACAAATGTGCAATGTACTTTTATCATTCACATATATGCATTTCAATTTAACCCACTGATTCGTTGATCTTATCTCTTCTCAGTTGTCCTTGCAAGCATCATATTTTTCGCTGTGAAGAGTCTCCTAGTGGCGTTGAATATTATATTCCTTCAATACCGAAAGTTGTTGTAAAACACCAAGCACAAAGGTTTTCCGTGCATTTCTATAAATAAATAGAACATGGTCCATTTTTCATTTGAAATTCTACACTCCGTATCTACTTTTCTCCGTTTGGGGAATGACATTTTGGCTAATGAAAGTGTAGGGGAGGGGTAGAGACTAGCGTAGAAACAACATCTGAACAAGCAACAGATGGCGCATTGATACTGTCTGTCTGCTGTGTTGGGTCTGTCTCAGTGACAGACTGAGACTGCTGTTGTCTTCTTCTCTAATCAAAACAATGTTGTCTTCTCCTCGGATCAAAACAGTCTGTCCCCTAGCGCAGGGGTCCCCAACCTTTTTTGCCCCACGGACCGGTTTAAGTCAGACAATATTTTCAGGGACCGGCATTTAAGGTGTGGCGGATTAATACAACAAAATAATATGGTATGAGCTGCATGAAAACTGTGGTGTTTTCGAAATATAATAATAAACACAAGGAGCGTCTAATCTGGTCGCAACACTCTTATCGCTCTGGTAATGTTTAATGCCTTCAAAATACGATACAACGCAAATTCAAAGTGCATGAAAATGACGACTCACCACAGCCCCGAGCTTGATTTTCTGCAGTCAGACAGTCCCATCTCGGGGTAGTAGGAGACAATGACACCTCAAGTGTGTGGTTTATGTCCAGTCTACTTCGTAATTTTGTTTTAGTCGCTGTTGCTGCAGAAACTCCACACCTCACACAGGTAGGATGTCGGAAATAGCAACAGTGCTATTGTGGCGATCTCAGAGTATTCAGCCATAACTTTGATCCAGTAGTTTCGAACATACTTTTAAGGCGGCCGTCATTTGCGATCTCCAAGCAGCTCTTTTACTCATTTTGCGGGCTTCAGCGTTTTGTTTTTGAATGTCGTCGGTCACGTGACCGAGAAGTGTAGCTTGACGTGAGTCAAGCGTGACACAGACGGATGTAATGGAGAATCCGGTAATTTTTCAAAATAAAACAGCTTTCATATTCCGAAATAAATAAAACGAAATTAAGGCAAGTTCTTTCTGTGCGGCCCGGTACCAAATGCCCTGCGGACCGGTACCGGGCCGCGGACCGGCGGTTGGGGACCCCTGCTTTAAACGGTGGACGCTGAGCATCCGCTGAGCGTCTCGAAAGTTCAGGGTAGGTTGTCCCAATGCGTTGAATGGAGACGAGTCATTGGATACAAGCTGGTACCACCCACGGACGCTCGGCGTCTCTGGGATTGGATGGCAGTGAGTGGGTACCGGACGCTCAGTTTTTCTGCATCAGATTGGATGATCTGTCTGAGCCTGTGTTGCAGTTTGATTGACATGGAAATCAGCCAATCACCGATCTTTTAGTGTCGGCATCCGTGGGAGCACTTTCAATTCTCATTCTGTTCTAAGTTGAACTGGAGACACTTCTAATCATCTTAGCGACACTCTCTTTGTTGAAAACGATAAGTGACAAATTAATCTTTTATTACTGGTCGGTTTTATTGTAGTTGCTGTAGTTGTAGGACACTAGTTACGTTCCTGGAAAAGACGCCTTGTTGGTATGACAGGGTTCCAGATAATTTTCTTGAAAAGAAACGGAGAGTAGAATTTGCGTTTATATAAACGGACACATTTTATGGTGTCGGCCAAAATTGAGCTTCCCCTCCTTGACAGACCAGCATCCGCTACTGCCACAAATCCAGATGGAGTAATTCAAGACCTCTTTTCTTAATTTTTGAAACAGAAACAAAGCAGTACCTGAGTTCTAATATAGATTCCAAAAACAAGAAAGCTGTTAAGACTCTGGCTATATGCTCCTTATTTGAAACTTTTGTTTAAAAATCCCCTGGCTCCTTTCTGTTTAAATGTTTGTAATATGTGCATGTATTAATGACGTGTTCGTTTTGTTTTCTGTTTACTGAGAATTGTATCCTGACTTGTTCAATAAAGATTGTTTAAAAAAAAAAACATAGAAACATTCGGTAGAGATCCCTCTTAGCCAATAGGATGCCAGGATGATGCTCGGTAGTAGCCAATGGCAGGGCAGCTATAAGTATGTTACATTCAGGAACCTCGGAACTGTGATTTAATGTATTTTTACCTGTCATGTCTTGAAGTTTTTTTGGGAACAATAGGCAATATTTTCACATTGAGGCATATCGTAACTTTCATTCGTAAGTAGAGATATCACTGTACTGTACAGTATTTGCAAAAGTGCCACCATTTAATTTGTTTTGAAAAATTTTCAGCGGAAGTAGTATTTCTCCACACATCGGATGACTCGCCCCTCCCTCTTTTTAAACAAGTGTATTACGCGGAACATTCGTGATTAAACGTTATTTTGGGGGATACTGTATTATTTTTTGTAGTTATTGATAGCTGACAGCTGGGCTTGCAACGTGTTTCATTCACCTCGCACCTCCTTACGTTTACGAATTTCCTGCTAAGTCAATAATGCATGGCACCTTTCATTCATAGTTGCTAACGCTAATTTTGGACTGGCCAAACTGATTGCCATTCTCTGAGCAGAATTTGGTCAATAAACGTATTTTACGTTTACACTCCTATTCACTGGAGTACACCAAAAATCGAAATGTACTGTTTCTTTTCGTTTTTATTTTCAGAGAACATAGGTTGCTCGTGACAAAAGGTAACTAGTCAATCGAATAAGGACAGCTGCTTCAAATATTTTTGATATACGTTCGGTAGTAAATTCCAACCACTATGGATTACGAACATAAAGCGAAGTTGGTGGCTGAATGTTTGCAGAGCTACAGGAAGGATGAATCCGGTTGGAAGGTCTGCAAAAAATCGGTAGGTGCATAAAATGATCATTTCCAAGAAAGACATTTACCTTGACACTAGATCAAATGTAGATACCTGAAGATAATTGATTTTGTTATTGGAAGGAAATTAAACTAAAATGCATAATAATAGGAGATCGTTCTGGTTTAGGGACAGAAATGTGGTGTGTAAGTGTTGTCAAAAGCATAATCGTCATTTCAACTTTTGTTGTTTTCGTTGGCAATGGTTATTTTGCCGTGACTGGTAATCTCTTGTTCGTGTTAACTTCCCCTGAACGGCTCTGATTGGTCAATCACCGGAGTGAGGAATTTTGGCCCTGCAGTGAATCGGTTATTTTACCGTGAATATAATAGGTTGCCCCTGAATAGGTTCGTTGTGTAGTCGGGGTTCTAATGGCTTCAACAGTAACTGGCTCCCGATTCCAGTCATGTCCGTCGGGGCAATGTCAGTCCATTAACCTTGTGTTCCCTAATCATAATCATACTCTTATCTTAACTTTGTTCAATTTTCATAATAGTAGACTTTGAAACACCAGTGGTATCAAAGTCAAGGCCCAGGGGCCAGATATGGCCCACCACATCATTTTATGTGGTCCGCGAAAGCAAATGAAGCATATCAACTTCCATGATGCTTGCTGACCAAAATTTCAAATTGTCATATTTAATTCATTATAACAATGTTTGAACAAGCCATTATTCTTGACTTCTGATTTCATAACTAGTGATCCATCAATTTGTTGTCCGCTGTGTATGTAAAATGTGGAGGTGATTCGACATTTATATGGCTTCACAAAATTCACTGTAATAACGGCCCTCCAAGGAAAACCATAACTACAATGTGTGCCACGACAAAAATGAGTTTGACACCCCTGGGTTCAACTCTGAATTTTTTCCTGAATCGGTTGCCAGCCAATTGCAGGACACACAGAGAGGAACACCGATCCACGCTCACACTCGGGACAATTTAGACCCACCCCTGGGTTCAATTCTGAATTTTTTCTTGATACAAACCCCTCTTTTTTTTTTTTTTTTTGTTTTTAGATTAATTTGACCTCTTTTTACTATTAGCGAGCAGTAGGCGGGGGACACCCTGAACCGGTTGCCAGCCAATCGCAGGGCACACAGAGATGAGCAACCATCCGCGCTCACACTCACACCTAGGGACAATTTAGAGCAGGGGTCGGGAACCTTTTTGACTAAGAGAGCCATAAAAGCAAAATATTTGGAAATGTATTTCAGTGAGAGCCATATATATTTATACAGTAAATATTCCCATGCCCGCAATTCTATGAAAAGGAATATCCTTCACCCGGAACAAAAACCTATGCATTAACATTTTTACTACAATATTACATGTTACCGGAACTTACGTAAGCGGAAATTCCACTACCCGTAATCCGGATTGAGACGTCATGCCGCGGGAACTGAAATAAACGCAACGCCCACCCGATGCTACGGAAAGACGACACCGAGACACATTTTCACTTCGCGTTTTTCGATCATCAGATTCGAAACGACGACGTGTAAGTGAGTTTTTATTGGCGTGCGTTTTACTGTAATTGTGAATGATTTTAACTTTATTCACTTAACGTCCTGTAGAACGCGGCACTAGCTTAAAAGCAGCCCCCACTCGACACGACCGAACAGACTGTTCGCTTCGCCGTTTACATTCATCAGATTCCAAACGAAGACATGTAAGTGACTTTTTATTGGCGTGCGTTTGACTGCAATTGCGAAAGATTTTAACTTTATTCACTTACGTCGTGTAGATCATGGCATCGAAACGTAGAA